ATTAGAGGTGAGGAAACTAAGGTTCAGAGAAATGACAAAGTTTACCATTGTCACACAAATAAAAAGTAACACATCTGCATATTTTTGTAACCCAAATGACTGGAGTCCTAGTTTTTTACCTATAATCAATGCTGCCCCATCTTAACAGAGTCTCTGCACTCCCTTCCTTAAAACCTGTCCCCAGCCTTCTCTTAAAATTGCCTGGCATGTTTGCCAGTCACAGCCATAAGCAATGGCCCCTTGTCGAAGCAAGACCATAGACCACAGCCAATGCACATAGGCCATCGCCTATCTTTCCTTCAGGCATGTCAACTTGTCTTATGTTCCATCCAACTTCAGTCCCTCCCTCCCCCTAAACACTGCCCTTGAACCTCCATATATGTCCTTCAAAAGCATCCAGGCTTGAGGATTAACAAACAGCAAGGAGACCAGGTAGACTTGTTTGTTAGAATTCCACACCCTGTAAAACAGCTTAGAGTGACTTTAAAATAGCAACCGGTAGAATAAACACACCAATTACAGAGCAATGTGTTGTAAATAGCAATTTATTAAAGAAAATAAAACTCTGGTGACAGTTTTAAAATCCTCAGCAAAACACTTTGACCAAAGGCAATATTATTATAGTTCTCATTCCCTGGCTATAAAAGTGTGCTTCTTCTTAAATAGTCCTTTCAAAAGCCCAGGTCCAGCCCAGGAGACAAGATGGTGACATCACCCTGCTCCATAAAAGAGGAATTATTCAGGCTGCAATAAACTGAGTGAGGTGTGTATACTGCAAAGATGAGGGGGAAGGGATTCCCTTCCATTATCTTTGATATGTGAGTGACTCTCCCTATACATTTTTCCAGATCACTGCTTTTTCTTTTCCTGCCTTTCCTGTTAAGGTTTTGGGGGTGAGGGCTCACCAAAATGGGGAGGCCATGACTGATGTCAATCAGCATTTGGGTCAGGGTCAAAAATCCTTACTAACTTGATTATATTCTCAAATTCCCCTTCCTCTCCCAGATCTCCAACTCCCTGCCTCTTTTTCGTCTAGCCAGTCATGCAGCAATTTAGTTTCTACTGATTTTTCCCATAAGGATTTTGGAATCTGCAGGAGTCAAAGAAATGAAAGGAAAGCTCCCATCTCTGTCTGGCCTTGGGATCGAGTTTCTACAATCAGAGTGTCCCTGGTGCCAAAAGCAATGTTTCCAACCCAAATGCCCCCAAATAGATGACTGCATCAAGAAGATGTGGCATATATACACAATGGAATACTATTCAGCAATCAAAAAAGATAAACTCATGCCATTCGCAGCAATGTGGATGGAGCTAGAAGGAATTACGCTCAGAGAAATATGCCACAAGGAAAAGAAAAGTATTGGATGGTTTCACTTATAGCAGGAATATAGGGGAACCAAATAAGACATCAGTGTAAAAAAAAATAGTAACAGTACAAAACACAACAAAGCAAAAACAGACAATTATAAATCAGAGACATTCTGCAGGGGAGGAGGCAGGAGAGGGATCAGAGGGAGGGAGGGAGGAGCACAGGGGACTGAGGTGATGGTGCACGGGTGCCTTGGGGAAGGAAATTCTACGGGGACAACACCTGGTTGGGGGGGAAAGCAAATATTGTTTAAAAATGAACAATGATGTAAAAATAAATTTAAAAAAAAGAAAAAAATAAGAAAGCAATGGTTTCCTAACATGACTTGAAGTGCTACCATGCCCAGAATCTCAATGTCTTTACTCTTACGTGAGTTGTATTGTTGTGTCTTTGTTCAAGTATCTTGTTGCTGGAGTCTCAGAGTGGAGGTGGAATGGAGGGAAGCAAAAACTGCACTGTCTGGTCACACATTATCAATTATTTATTGAACAATTACTAGGTGCCAAGTGCCGTACTTTATGCTGAGTCACACTAGCCCGACACAGACACAGCCCCTGCCCTCTGGAAGCTTACAGTCTAGCCCACAGCCAACACATAAATCATTAAGTGAATGCATTTTTGAATAAGCACCAAATCCTGATAAGATTTGTACATGGAGAAAACAGAGCAGCACCTTCTTAGCTAACACACAGAGAGAACCTCTATCTGAGTTCTGATCTTTGAGCGCAGACTGAAGGACAAGGCGGCGTCAGTCGTACTCAAAGAGGCACTAACTTGGGCACACCAAGAACTTGAGTTTGTGAGGGAATGGAGTGGAATGGCATAGAAAAAGCAAGTGGAAAGACATAGAGAAGATGGGAGAAGAAAACAGAATGGAAGGCATTGTGCCCAAAGGTCTCTGTGACTGGAAAAAAGTCACTGGGGAGAACTGAGTAAGATCTCACCAGGAAAGAGGACCTCAGGAACCATAATAAGAAGTCTGGGCTCCATTTAAAGTACAGTGGGACAATTTGGAGGATTTTAAGTAGGAGAGTGACAATCACTTTACTGACATGTGGAACATTCATTTGAGTTGGGCAGGAGCTGAGGTGAGAGGGATGAGGACAAGAGTTCTTGGTGACTTAGGATGAGATGATGACAGAAGGAATAATGTATATCGTGGTAGCAACTATATTACTTGGCTGTTGACAAGGACGTGGGGAAGGGTGTTGAGGATAAAGTTGGGGGATGCATCACAATGACCCCTAGGTTTCAGACCGGCCCCCCTTAGTGGATAATGGGGTGACATACAGAGGACTCAGGAGGAATAGAACTTAAAATTCAGGGGTCATAAACACAGGAAGAATCCAGATTTTAATTTCAATCATCACCACGTGAAGTGTTTCTACTCTATCCAAATGGAAGAGTCACAAAGACAACTAGAAATGTGAGTCTGAGGGAGGAGAGCCAAGTCATGAGGGAAATGTGGGAGAGTCCCAGACAGAGAATTTGAAGTTATCCAAAGGAAGAAGAACATCCAGAGAGCACTCTATATTTCCTGCTCAATTTTTCTGTAATCTAAACTACTCTAAAAAGTAAAGTCTATTCATTTAAAAAGAAGACAGCATGGGCTTAAGGATCTGGTTAAAACAAATCAAAAGAGTGTCAGAGGCTTTCCTGGAAAGGAAAGGATGCTTAAAAACAATATGGATTTATGTGGAAGAAAAAAAGGCACCTTGTTCTTATAAGTGTAGTTTGAACACAGCACAGATCAAAGATCCCAGAGAAATCATTAGCTTTCCGCCACTGTTCTGTAACATGAAAAATCTTCTCAGAGGAAAGGATTTGAAAAACTGGGCATAAAGCATTTTTGATCAATCCTAAGATCAATTGTAAAACATCGATCCTTCTCCCTATTCAAATCAAAGCACATTTCACAACTTGGGTCAAAAGAAAGGTCTTCTGGGGTCATCAACAACTAAATTTTAATTTCTATGTGTAGTCTAAGAACCTGAGTGACATTCAGCAAATCCACTTAACTTTTTTGAGGTTCGGTTTCAATCATCTATAAATTAGAGAGAGTATTTACCCCATAGGCTTCTGTGAAGACAAAACAGATTAGACTTCATGAACTGTGCTCACTGTTATAATTAACAATAAGGATATTTCAAATATTATTATCATGGTTATTAAGCACTGGACATTTAATCTTTCCAATAGCCCTGTGAGTAAGCATCAAACGGGAAAGACTACAAAAGATTCAATGACTTGCCCAAAGCCCACAGCTGATGAATGGGTAAAAGGAGGGTATGGACCCAGCTCAGCCTGTTTCCAAGAGGCTCTCAAATGTCTGCTCATAGATGCCCAAGGAATTTGCATTTTAAGTACAACTTTTTTATATTACACTGACATTTCTAAATTATATTGAACTTTATCAGTGATATTACTTCGATGTCAGTAGATGGGTAGGTTACAAACTAATTTTAGCAAGGAGGAAATGATGATGGAGTCCTCTATGATTTTCCTGAGTTTTAAAGGGAAGCAGTAACTCCTTGATTCTTCCTGTATTGTCGGAAAAAAACGATCAAGTGATCACTTGTAGAATGCAAACCCTGCCCTCCATCTGCACCTGGTCATCCAAACAACACAGCGGATAGAGTGAGTCCCTGAAGAGACTCTTTCCCCCAAGATCTCACTCACTCACTGTGCCGGTTCACACCTGTATGGATGTCCCTTGCTATTGATGCACATAGCTATCCAGTCCCTACTACCTGTCTTTAAAGCTCATTAAGTCTTTCATTATGTTTCTGTTCTTTCTAAATTTCAGCTAAAAGTGTCATTTAAAGGGGGTAGTTTTCAAGGAAAAAGTATTGGGTGGTGGGGATCTGCAAGAGAACTGTTGATATTTTATAATAACTCTTATGGAAATAATTCACCATTTTAATTTACTTTTCACTTTAAGGTATGTTTTCCCAAGACAGTAATTTTTGAAGAATCCTCAAAACCCTAACAGAGGGGAGCATTACACTTTATCATGAACAATGTACCCCAGATTTCTACATAACCCCCTGTGGGCAAAACACTGGCAAGCACCACTTGAGCTGTGTGGGTGCCTGATTGTGTGTAGGTACATAGTTGATGCTGGGGCATGACCACACATACACACACAGTAACTTCCCTGGTATAATTTCGGTTCTATTTTACCCTGAAAACTGAATCACATACATTTCCCCACACTTCAAGGAAACTTCAGAAAGGAAACAATATCATGGTCTTCACAGAGACCTCAAGGATATTGGGACTTAAATTTTTCTTAAAAAAAAAAAAAAAAGGAAAGCAGGCAAATCCGCCAGTCCTTTAGTTTACTTTGATACACTCTGAAAAGGCAAGTCAACTAGAAAATGTGGCAGGAATATTTTTTAAAAAAACAACAAAGCAGCCTAACACGAAGTGAGAGAACAAGGGGCCACCTTATGCTGCAGTCCACAGAGGCATCCAAACATTTCGTCAGCAGGATTCCAGCCCACCTTCACAGCTCACATTTATAAAGCTGGCCCAGGCGCTCCAGAGCAAGAGGTGGCTGAGCCTTCTACCTGCCCCTTAGTGTCTTCAGAGGAGCCGGCCAAGCATTCGTCAGACTTACTTGTGAGCCATGGCAAAGAATGGGTTGGTGATTTCCATCCTGGTTATCACCTTACTCCTGGACCAGACCACCAGCCACACATCCAGATTGAAAGGCAGGAAGCACAGCAAACGCCGAGTGAAAGGTAACGGGGCTTGTCAGTCCAGCAAAATTCAAGGCTTGCTCATGTGGGGAGGAGCTGGGCAATGTTCATCTCCAAACTCCTCCTGGGGACCATTCCTGGTGACAGCATCGTGGCATCATGTGGCTATGGCATTTCAGGGGACTCTGATTTTTTTTAATTCTCAAGGATAGTTTGATATGTAAAGGAATCTTGTGTTTTTTTAATAGGAAAAAATCTTGTAATGTAGAAAAAAAATTCTACATTGTATATCCTTTATCAGGTGGGGTTACACCTGTAGAATGTTCTTCAGCTTACCTGGAAATGTGGACATCTGATATTATGACTGAGGGGTCAGGCAGAATTTACTGATTACTAGAGTATACTGTTTCACTTGTATATATTGTGTAAACTCACCCCTTACTTATTAAAGGTGCAGGAGAGGACAGAGCTATTGGTGACGACATTGGTTACTACGTGGGTATATTTTCATAGAAACAGTGTAGGTGATATATTTAAGCTTTTTTTGCCTCACAGAGAAATGAAACCCCTCTAACTTAAAAATGTTTCACTGCGCAAAGTCATATCACACTTGAAGACATTTCAATGCAAAACTGAATCTCCAAGCAATCCCAAATTTTGTAGGCCTGAATTAAAAAGTTATGAAAAAAATCTCAAGAACCAAAATGATGGCAACTTATTTGCAATATGCTGAAATTAGAGCAAAAGGATAAACCATCAAAAATGAGAGAGGGGCATGTTTTATCCCATCCTAGGAGTCACTTCATATCAGAATATTGGAAGGTAAATATCATGACTCTATTTCTTTATCAATTTCACTTCATTCATAACAAAATACATGAAAAACCCCTCAAGGTTAAAGTCTTGATTTGGCACAACCAGGCTGGCTGTAAAAGGTGTGTGTGTGTGTGTGTGTGTGCCTTTCTGTGTTGTGTTCTGATAATGATAAAGTGTCTTTTACCTGGGTCATTTATTTATACAATTTAGGTCTGATGCAAGTTTTCTTGAGTAGAATATTTTTTCTTTATAAAATATTATACTTTCCTGTTGCCTCTTGTAATGAACGATTAAAATGTTTCTCATACATAGATGAAGTATATTGCTAAAGATGGAGGCAGGGGAAGGCAGGAGAGAGAGGTTATTTGTGTGATGTGGCATATTTTTTGTAGCCAGTGTTTCTCCACCACTGGGAGGGGGTAGCAAAGAAAGGCTGTGGGAGCAGTGTGGCTATGTGGTGAGTGAGTGTGAGTGTAAGTGTGTGTGTGTGTGTGCGTGGACGTGCACACGCACGCACACACACACACACACACACGCTGAGTGGTGTTTCTCAAGTAGTTCCAGTTCAGGTCATAGAGAGCGCACCCTTCTCCTGATCCACTCTACACACACAAATGCACATACTTATTTGTTTTTAACTAATTGGACATACATCTTCAACATCATCCTCCAAAGGCAGCCTTTGCTAATTTTTGCCATTAGGTCAAAGAAATTAGATTAATAGTAGGGGAAGTCATATGCCTAGATTTGTCAAACTGTTCTTTCTCCACCCACTCACACACTTTTAAGATATTTTAAGGGGCCTCCCTGGTAGCACAAGAGGTTAAGCACAGCACTATGAAGATGTCCACAGCCTCTGCAGCATGAGTTCAATCCCCAGCCGGCCAGGGAGCAACCCACATGGTGAGGCAGACCTCTTCTGTCTCACCCACTGCTCCCCTCAGCAGTGTGTTTCAGTCAGTCTGCCTGTTCTGTTCCCCACTCTATCTCTGGTGAATCCTCTCACCCCCTGCATCTTTGACCTATACCCCAGCTCATGCATGCATAAATAATCTTCAAAAAATAAAATAAAATATTTTGAGTACCTGGAAATGATACCAAAGTTTCTGAAATCAAAAGTGAAAGCCACTTTCTCTTTCCTAGTCCTTTCCCCAGAATTACCCATTATTAAATGTTGCAAGATAATATTTCCAGTGATTTATTAATTGCACAAACAAAAATCAATGTTTTTTTAAACAAAGTAAGAACTGACTATAAAAATTTTGTGGGAGGGCAGGGAAAGGAGGGATTGGGGTCAAAATAAGGGGATTGCAATTGTATGGGGAATATAAAAATTAAAAAAAAATTAAAAATACTAAGAAAAAAAAGAAGAAAAAAAGAAAAAAAATTTGTGGCAGACACATCAATTTATTTCATCTATTAAATCTTGGAAACTGACCAACATAAGGCATATCTCAATCTTTTTAACAGTTGCGTAATATTCCATTGTATAAATAGCTCATGATTTATTTAAACTGTCCTTTCTCGGTGAACTTTTACATGGTTTCCAATCCATCTCATTTTCACCTAAGGCTCAGAAAACCTCTTTTATACATCTTTTGGTTCCCATACTAGGATATTATGGCATGTTTCTAGAAGTAGCTTAGAGGATAAGCACGCCTTCTAAAATTGGCCCCCAAAAGAGAGCATAGGTCCTTACTCCCATCTTCAGTGTATGAGATAATCTATTCCCACACAGCCTGACAACCCAAATCATATCATCAGTTTAAGCTCTACCAACCTAACTCCCCAAACAAACAAAAAAAGTGTTCTTTGACTTGCATGTCTTTTACTGTCAGTAAAAGAGATTTTTATGTTTACAGGTCATTTCTTTTGGGAATTACTTTTGTATTTCTATATTGTACTGAATTTTGAAGAACAAGAAAAAATGAAAAGGAGGTTTTTTTAATACTCAAAATGGCAATTGAGTGATTTAGTTCCAAACCCTGCTACTTAGTTCTTAGAGTGCAAACTAAGTGTTGCAGTAATGAATAAAATATCATTTTCATAGTAAAATCATTATTCTTGGTTTTTAATGTAGACAAAAAACATTCACATTAATCACAAAGGATGGAAGCAGAAGCCAAGCCACCTGGATAATAAAGTCTATAATGATCTCCCAGGAACCTAATATTAATGCACATGTCTTCTCATTAATTACAATGTTTCCACCTTCCCTGCAGAGGCCACTTATTTAAATAGAAAGGAGGAGGAAGGTAAGAGGGGCAAAAGATGACATTTGTAGAGTTGACAGTTTGTCACCTAGAAGAAGCTCTTCAGCTGTCTTTACATCTCTGCCCCCCCAACAGTCTATAAGGGTGCATTCCAAGTACACCCTTATATTTACTGTGGAGTGAAAGACCTCACTGGGAAATTCATGGGTTATTATATGTCTCCATAGAGCTACTGGATGCTTTGAGAGTCAGAAATGTATCACCTCTGTCTGGGGGAACACCAGAAAGCATTTTTCTCACCCACATGTGGAAATACCTGGCTGGCAAAGCACATGTTTAAGGGGACTGTAAAGTAGTATGTTTTTATTTGGGACACTCCTGAAAAATCCAAGACAGAACACAGATCTTCCACATGTCACCCCTACAAGGCAGCTGGCAGGCAGCTAGGAAGAGTTCCTTTTCTGTCTTTTCTGTCTGAGGTCATGTACTTGGCACTAAGAAAACAGAGGCAAGAACTGTGGAGAAGCAGGCAAGAGGACTGGGAAGAGAACAAATTTGGACTCAGAGAGATTAAAAACCTGACTCCTTCTGCACCTTACTAGCTGGGTGACCTTCAGCAGGTTAATTCAGCTTCCTGTACCTCTGTTTCTCTTTCCGTGCAATGGGGATAGGAATATACATAAGAATATTGAAAATGTGAAGCTCCTGGCACAATGTATGATGGTTTTAACATGTTTAATTTTTATTTTTCATTTTAGTTGATTACAGTTCTTGCCTTTGAAGAACTCACAGTTGTCAATCACTAAGGCAGTCCCCACCAAGTCTGAAATTTTGATTTAGATAATGTGTAATTGTCTACCACCTACTTAAAGCCAAGTTTATAGTGTTGGCTACTTAGAGCAAACATTGGTCAAGAAGAGTCATGAAACCTCAACTAGGGATGTTCAAGACAAAATAAATTGCTGAGCCCCACTATAAAAATATTTTCACATGATCCTTTCTCACTGCTTTGTCTTCTTCTCCATGGAAATCACTTCACCCTGCTAGGAGCCATCATTCCTGGCACACCAGTAGAACAGGGATTTTGGTAATGAGGGACTTGGGAGCTCAAATAGGTCTAGATGTGAGTTCTACCCCTCATCTACTAGTCTCTTAGCTCCCTGAGTTTATCCTTATCCTTCAATGTGAATCTATATTCCTCCCTTCTTAGTTATTTTTGAAGAGTAAAAGAAAACACGATATAAGTATTTTGGATGCCAAAACGTATTCATGCATTCAATAAAAATCATGAGAGCCTGTTATCTGCTAGACATCACGTTAAGCATCAGAAGTATCATATAAGATAAGATAGATGAAATTAATAAGGAACAAAATTATAGATTGCAGAACATAAATAAAGGCTGAAGAAAAAAATAAAGAAGAAAATTAAAGGTTCAAAGAAAAAGATTAGCTGTAGGGAAGCAAATGTAGAGAGGATGATCAGAAAAGTCTTCTCCCAAGTGGCGATATCTAGGTATAATGAGACAGGACAAGAATGCTCCAGGTAAGAGGAACCAACAGGAAAGGTTTCTGAGGTGAAAGAGATGGCTTGAGGGTACATTGAAAGCCAATGAGTCTGAAGTTAACACGGGATGGAGGGTCCCGCAGGTTGGGACTGAAGAGAGAAAGGAAGCCCATCCCACAGAAGGACTTTCTAGTATTGTTACCTCCACCAAGCCCTAGTGAAACTCTCTGTTCAAGCAGTTTTCATGCATTGTGTTTCATGTACACCGGATTCAATTTCTTCACAACCACACTCACCATGCATTCTGGATCCCAAAGCTTTATTTTACTCTTCTTTCATCTTTTAATCATACATCTTCCATTCTTTCTACTCCACCCCCACCTTAAAATATCCCCAGAAAAGGATGGAGACCTGAAGACTCAAGTGGAAAAGCTCTGGAGGGAAGTCAATGCCCTGAAGGAAATGCAAGCCCTGCAGACAGGTAAGGCCCCACATGAGTGCTTCCTCCTCTCCAACCAAATATGGAAACTGTTATTTGCCTCAATTAAACCCACATTTAAGGACCTCCCCTGGTGGTGCAGGCGGTTGAGCGCAGCGCTGTGAAGCTGTCCACAGTCTCTACAGCACCAGTTCGATCCTGCCGACTGGCAAGGGTCCCACATGGTGTGGCAGACCTCTCCCGTCGCACCCGCTGCTCCCCTCAGCAGTGTATTTCATCAGTCTGCCTGTTCTGTTCCCTGCTCTGTCTCTGGTGAAGCCTCTCACCCGCACATCTGGCCTGTACCCCGTTCTTGTATAAATAAATAATCTTTAAAAAAAATAAAATAAAATAAACCCACATTTAAGTTCCAGGTGACTACTTAAAAAAAAAAAAAAAAAAGATTGACAAACACAGACCAGAGATGTATCCAAGCAGAGAAGATCACTCCCTTTAGCTACATATCAGGATGGTAGAGAAATAAAATAGGTGTTTCAATAACTCATTTTAAAAAGTCTGTTCGTTCTTTTCTAATAGGCAATGAAGTAGAATCAAAGCATGTATTAACTGACTAAAATAATTAGTATTCATTGCATGTTGTCTAACTGCCCACTGGGAAATCTGTTGAGGGTCAACTCAACCTGGGAACAGGGGATTCACTCTGGGCACACTGGGCATCAGGTGCTCAAGTAGAAACAGTGGGTGGAACCACAGCTTGCCGAGAAGACAGCAGTCACTGTTCCTTTGTAGTGGGAGCAGAATCCCAGCAGCCTACTGCCCAGCAGCTGCTCTCCTGGGCTCCAGGAGTGAGGAAATGAGAGGACACTGAGCCAGCCAGGAACAGCCTGGCTGACTAAGCTCATACCCCCTCAGGAACCATTATTCTCATAGAAACTCCAGAAGCTTCCAGGGTCCCCACTAGAGACCTGCCCAATTATAAGAATTACTGCCTTCAGGGAAGACTGCAGTCATGGCCTTCTATCAAGTATTTATAACTCCCAGGCCCACTGTAGGATACCAATCCAGGATCTTTTTGTACCATAAACAATGTTGCCTGGGAACACACTCCCTTAATCAATGCTAGGGGAACAGAATTAGAAAGATAAAGGAAGGTCAAATCACTTGCACAAAGGGCAAGGGGTTAGTTAACCCTTTACCCACAGGTGGCAGTATAAATGCTCTTATAAACATGAACACATTCATTTTCCAAGGACTTAGGAGAGAGGTGCCCTTATGAAAGGCCTCATTTCACAGATGACACTGAGGCCAAAAGAAATTACATCATCTGTCCAAGGTTTATACGTCTCGTAAATATTACCCTCTGATTCTCCAATGCTTTGCCCTAAAACTAAACTCTATGCTGGTTTATCCTGCATAAACTATACAAATTGTCAGAGCTCAGTCATCTGCATAAGGAAACCTGTCTCTCCAAATATAAACTCAGATTTCTGTTTTTTAGTAATTCCATCCAGCTTCCAATGTCCCAAGGAAATCCAGCACGTAATGGAGTCATCCAAAGGAGCCAACACTCGTTTATTAAAGCAAGAGGAGGCTAAGGCTAGTGCTGGGGGTGGGAGAGGCAGGGGGATGGGCCTGGGTTGTATTATGTGGGTTACATTTTTAAACTCTTAAGTTGCTGTTAAATGACAACTTCTTTAAGCCTCAATATCCTGATGTGTAAAGACTAGAGAAATAAAATCTCACTTTGAGGGGTTGTGATGATTATTGTGGTTATTCTATGAGCCATTCACATAAAATGCTTAGTCAGACACACAAAATCTTCAATCTCTGGTAACTCACCATTATCACCAAATGTCATTCATTCCGCAAATATTTATTTTCCAGGTCCAGTCCCAGATGTCTTGAATTCAAACAGCCTCTTAATATGTCAATTTATATTTTTCACAGTCTGTCTCCGAGGCACAAAATTTCACAAGAAATGCTACCTGGCTTCAGAAGGCCCGAAGCACTTTCATGAAGCCAATGAAGACTGCATTTCCAAGGGAGGGACCCTGGTTATCCCCAGAAACTCTGACGAAATCAACGCACTCCGAGACTACGGGAAAAGGAGCCTGCCAGGTGTCAACGACTTTTGGCTGGGCATCAGTGACATGGTCACGGAAGGCAAGTTTGTTGATGTCAATGGCATAGCCATCTCCTTCCTCAATTGGGACCGTGCGCAGCCTAACGGGGGCAAGCGGGAAAACTGTGCCCTGTTCTCCCAGTCAGCTCAGGGCAAATGGAGCGATGAGGTGTGTCGTAGCAGCAAGAGGTACATATGCGAGTTCATCATCCCTTAACAGCCTTCTCAGATGCCTGGTTGGTCATGATTTATAGGCTGATGGTCCCCAAGAAGAAGGAGTGAAAGGGTACTCAGGAGGGTGTGTCTGTAGGAAGACCAGAGTCAGCCCATTTTGCTCCCATATTTCATTGTGATTTTGTCCTGCAAGGGGTATGGGGAAATTAAAAAAATAGTGATCCAGCCATGTGTGCACAGTGTTGTTAAATTGAATTCTGCAAAGTGGGCTTTCAAATCCGTTTCTCTCCTGGTTCTGCTCACTTGCACAGACTAGGTCTGCTTTTAAAGTATGATAGAATAGCAAGCTTAGGCTATTGGTGTGGTTTTCTTTTCTTTTCTTTTTTTTTATAAGATTTATTTATTTATTTATACAAGAGCCGAGGTACAGGCCAGATGCTCGGGAGGGTGAGCGGATTCACCCGAGACAGAGTGGGGAGCAGAACAGGCAGACTGACGAAATACACTGCTGAGGGAAGCAGCGGGTGAGACAGGAGATGTCTGCTGAGCCATGTGGAACACTCGCCAGCTGGCCAGGATCGAATTGGTGCTGCAGAGGCTGCAAACAGATTCACAGCACTGTGCTCAACCGCCTGCGCCACCAGAGGAGGCCCTATTGGTGTGGTTTTCTCTTGAAGGTTTAGTAAATATTTATTGATGAGAATTCTCTGCACCAGAGATTCTAGGTGCTATATCATCGGGAAACTTTTCCATCTTTTTGTGATGGTTCCTTCCTGGTCATGGTACCTAGTCCATCCACTGCCCTTTCTTTGAATTGCTATACCTAGTGGTGGAACTTCTATCTGTGTGTCACGTGAGAACACCAATGTCTTAGAAAGGTTTTGATTGAACTGTTTTCTTTAAGACCACCCCTCCATTGCACACACCCCTTCTTTTGTGGGGGGGGGGCACAGAGAGTGGAGAGAGGGCAGAGCTCCCAATCAAGAACCGGAAGAGCGCCTCCCTAGTGACACAGCAGGTTGAGCACAGCGCTGTGAAGCTCTCTGCAGCCTCTGAAGCATGGGTTCGATTCCTGGCTGGCCAAGGAGATACACACATGGCGCAGCAGACCTCTCCTGCCTCACCCGCTGCTCCGCTCAGCAGTGTCTTCAGCCCATCTGCCTGTTCTGCTCCCATTCTGTCTCTGGTGAATCCTCTCACCCTCCCATGCCTCTGGCTTGTGCCCCAGTTCTTGTATAAATAATAAAAAATAAATCTTAAAAAAAATAAAAAAGAACTGAAAGGAAAGACAAGATTGCAAATTTGATCAATTTCCACTCCCAGCATTACATCACATTTTCCAACTCGAATAGGAAACCCTCAGGCAGAAGACGAGCAGCAGATTATAACAGAAAAGAGAACACATAAAGAAAAATGTCTACTTTTCCCTTGCTTTAGCATTCCTACCCCCATTATGAAATCAAGAGTGGATGTTATATATGCTAGCTTCCTTTTTTACATATTTTAGATACTTATGAATATTTTAATAATCATTATATGTTAAATTCTGTTGGGGATCATCTATCTTTGGAGGTTGAATATTGGATTTAAATGATACTATTTTGGAGTCACACATCTATGCAGTTTTTCTTTCTGCCAAATGCTATGCCTATTAAATTGTTTAACTAGATTGTGTAAAAACCATCATCGTTTAGTATGACGTTACCTAGTTTAGGCTTAGAGGAAATGGGTTTTTCAGAGGCAAATGATTCTAAGTATATTCTGTTCTTTAAATAAATATCCTTTTAAAAAAATGTTTAATGTATTTTGTGAACTATAGCCTTCCCTGAAAATTTTATACATGCTTGGAATTAATTTTTAGTTCTTTTCATTGCACTATAATAAAGTCTGACTTCTGATCCATGTGGATGTATGTATCTGTGCTAATGTCATTGTTAATACTGTGTTTTTTTATATCAAACTTGGCTCAATTTTAAGGAAAATATGCTGGATTTGATCAATCTGGTGATTTTGATATACTCAGAAAATTGTTTCACCTGACAATAAACAAAAAAAAACAACTTCTTAGCTTAATTTGTTTTTTTGTTAACCCTGTGTCGACTCCCTATTCCAACACAACTATAATCTCTTTCAACATTGATAACAATGAAATTAGTCAACATTAATGGCTAGTTCTTATTTTAGGTCTGTTATGATGCTAAATTTTACATCATTATTTACCTTAAAAACCACTCTGGGAACTGGGCTCTAAAATTATTTCACTTTACAGAATAAACTGAACAAGAGAGACGTGGTGACTTAAGTCACATGACAGGAAACCGTGGCCAAAATCCAGAACATACTCAGATCCCGCATCCTCAGAAATTATGGAGAAACTGTGACAAGATCAAATCTGTTTAGGGGTACAGTGGAAGTGTATTCTAATCCACTCTCCCTCCTTCCTTTTCTATACTAACATTATGGGCAAATATGGAACTTTACTAAGGCATTCAGTTTGAGGTTGCTTCACAAAGGAAACAATCTATCCCTATGAAGGGCTGAAAAAAGACAAGCTTAGCAGTTTCCCTGGCTTCTACCCAATGGATGCCACAGGCATGGCCCAGCTGTGACAACCAAAAAAATGTCCCCAGATATTTCCAAATTTGCCGGGAGGGGCAAAATCACCCCAACTGAGGACCACTACTCTAGTATTTTACTAGAGTAAAATTAGCCTCTAAAGAGGCTAATGGGGAGAAGGGAAATACTTTGTGTGGCAGGAGGGGGAGTAGAGCTATAGGGCTTATCCTATGTTTAAAATCACACATATACTTTCATTTCTTCAATTCATTCAACAGTATTTTCTTGAGCTAACTATGGGTCTGACACTGTCAATGTTGTGGGGACACAGATGAACAAAAAGTCATAGAAGTCTTCTGTCCTCATAGAGCATCTATCTAGATAGTCAAAACATATAGTAAATTAGCAAAGCAATAAACAAGATCATTTCTAAACATGATATGACAAGGTGTCAAAAGTTTGACGTGACATAATAAAAATAAACAGTGAGGTAAAAGGCCAAGTAAGTGGTAGAGCAATATTAGACACGATGATCAACCCCTCCAAAACAGCCCTCTCTCCCATCAAAAGAGAATGAAAGGAAAGCAAACTTATAAATCATTAGAGCAAGAGTCCCAATAAAGAAAGAGAGAGCTAGAGAGAAGTGACTCACTTAAAAATCACCCAGTAATCCAGGAACAGGACAGTTTGTGATCCTGTCTCCCAAGCAGAGCCTGACATACATCATCCCAGTTCAAGGTCAGGGAAGGTCAAAAGACTGGAGATAAAAGACGCAGACTTTTCCCTGACCACCGGCATGCACTCAGGTAAGAAATCAACCCTTGCCCTGCCACTTCCTCACCCATGGGAATGATAGGTCACCCTCAGAACTGAGACTTAGGATTTGAAAATACATTTTATGAGCAAGGAAATACTAAACAAAGGTTTCAAGAAGTGACATCAAAAAGGATATATCCAAAGGTGACTAGAGCCCTTAACCTGATGAAGGGATATCCATATTGGCAACCTCTTCTGGAACTTATTATGTGTTGGATCATTTCCCTGTTGACATCCCTAGAGGCCTATTACACAAGGTGGGCGGTGAGAGGCTGGAGGCATGGGGCCCTGGCCCAGGTTAGTGGCTGCAGCACAGAATCTGGGGTCAGCAGGTACAAGCATGTGGAGGAGGACTCAGTGATGGGTTCCGGGTCCACAGTGTCCAACCGCGCTGAGGAGTTGGCACAGGACACTGTGCTGGACACACTGCTGGCCATGCTGCTGCCAACTGGTTATGGTCAGGAAGGCAGTGGACTGACTGCACGTGGCACCATGGTACACATACTGTTGGTGGACACAGGGCCTGTCGGGCCGGCAGCAGCAATCATTGCTGTCTGCTCTGGCCGGGTCCTGAAGTTAATCATGCAGGACACATGGGGGAAATGTGGGGAGGGGGCAGCTGCTGGGGTACCCACAGCATATTGAGCTGGAACCCTGCAGTGTCCACTTCCTTCAGCCACTAGAAGTGGACTCTGACAACCTGGAGGGCTGCTGGCGCAACAGTCACTTTTTCACCTGGGTTGGTGTCTTCTTCTAGGAGCACCTGCTCAGCCTCTTGGAGAGAAAAAGGCAGTGGCCTGGTTTCTGCCTTCTGCTCACAAAGATGAGGAGGGTCTGAAAAAATTGCCTGTCCCGTGTATTAGTCTCTGACTCTCACTACTAGCTGACCATGGGAGTCCAGGGGCAACTGATGGACATGAGGATCTTCTCTCCTTGCCATGTAATGGCAAAGGTAGAGAGTTATGAAACCAGCTCTGATATGGAGCAAACAAATCACATGCAAACTGTGTCCTCATCAGTAAAAGACAGCAAATATTTGAGAATATCTAGAAAGTGGAATAATATTCCCACTTCATTAAAGCTTTTGAGACAATTTTACAAGAATTGCAGGTAGAAAGGCATGGGGCTGACTGCTGCTCCCAGGAGATGCATAGAAACTGATAATGATCTTCACCAGCTACAAACTGATTTCCAAGAACAGGGGAGGAAAGGGCTGTCATATTTATAGCAGCAACTGCTCAAAAATCAGATATCAGGTGACTCTGAGAAAGGAAGTTTCCTGAATACTCAAAGAATTATGAGAAGATTAAAGTGACACTAGTTGTTCAAGACGTAGTTTTAGTCAGAATGAGCAACCTAAATCAGTTTCCCTTTGAAGAGTGATCACACACAATTTTAATCTCTGTTGTCTTAGCAGGATATCAGAACAAAAAAAAAATCCCCTTAGCCATTTGACGTTATAACAATATCACTTTTTGCTTATAACAATTTATATGCTGTGATTTTTTAAAAATAATTTTCTGAGTCACACTGTGTGAACTTCAAATTTATCAAGTGATTTTTTTCTTTGTACATGTTTTCATCTCACAATCACCATGTGATGTGGGCTTTTATTAAGTTATTTTAATGATGAGGCAATTAAGGTTCTTGTTAAGGCTGCAAAAGTTGCAG